AAGGGGATTCTTTATGAACTGAACACTTTAGGAGAAAGGCCAAACTATTAGTTGCACAAATTTCAGAGAGCATAGCCCTCAACATACCTCTATAAGCACCATCTCAGTTCCAGGATATTCAGTAGATGGTCTCAACAGAACACATTGTTTTGCTCACTGCCTCTATCTCAGTGATAAAGATAAATTTCAGCAATAAGACAGATTATACAATGAATTGGAGGTATTCCATTTTGAAACTATGTAGTATTTGGAGCTACTAAGTATAGTTTCTCCTCTGATTACCAGGAAACCAGTGTTTATAGATAGGCTGCCTCAGTATCCAGCACTTTTCAACCTAGCAGGCTTGATGTTATCCATCACGCTACAATGATAGTTGACCAACATCCATTATCTCACTTTGGTATATCTCTGCCTATTTGGGCTTATCTGAGTCCTAGGTAGCCCAAGGATAGAGTTACCCACAGTACTGTGCTACTGCCTCACATCTGCTCATGGGAGCTCATAGTTAAATTTTCAGGAACTTTGCAAGGAAGTAGTTAAACTCAGTCATCGTTAAAAATTATATAAATTTACATTTAGAGAAGGGGCTTCCCAAATGCCACAGTGGTAAAGAATCCACCTGCCAATGCAGGAGACGCAGGAGACATGGGTTTGATCCCTTGGTCAAGAAGATCCCCTGGAGTAGGAAAGGGCAACCCACTCAAGTATTCTTGCTTGGAGAATCCCATGTACAGAGGAGCCTGGCGGGCTACAGTCCATGGGGTTGGGTCACAAAGAGTCAGACATGACTGAGTGACTGAGCAAGCATGCACATTTAAAGAAAGGTAATAAATTCTCATTATTCATTAATTATTTTACTACATGTTTTTTATGATCTGTGATTTCAAAGTTATTTTTATCTGTTGTATCTATATGGTGGAAATATGATAACATGGTATATTACAGAACATCTCTTCTCAACTCTGCATTCAATCACGCCACGTTGATAGCTTCAATTTGGCCATGGTGGGAGTACTTCAGCTCAGTTCAGTCGCTCAGAATGTTTCCAACTCCACAGACTGCAGCATGCCAGTCTTCCATCCTTCACCATCTCCCAGAATTTGCTCAAATTCACATCCATTGAGTCAGTGATGCCATCTAACCATCTCATCCTCTGTCGTCCCCTTTTCCTCCTGCCTTCAATCTTTCCCAGCATCAGGGTCTTTTCTAATGAGTCAGTTCTTCTCATCAGGTGGCCAAAGTATTGGAGCTTCGGCATATGCTACAAATTAAGGTATTCCTCTCCCATCGCCCCATCCCCGAGAACTAGTTGTCAAATATTTACCAGCATACCACTGGACTTACCTCCCCTAGATCTCTAGGGAATCTGATGGCTATCATCTCAAGGGGCACACTAAGACCTCTCTCAATATCTCTGAACCCCAAGCAGAATCTCCTTGTACAGCCTTGTAATTTGTTGTTACTCCTCACTGCCTTCTCATTCTCATTCTCCCTCCCTCTCACTTTTCCTCCCTCCCTTTCTCTCTGTCTCTCTTTTCTGTCTCCTATCTTTATAAAGTGCAAGTTGCTCAGTCGCGTCTGACTCTTTGCAACCCCATGACTATACAGTCCATGGAATTCTCCAGGCCAGAATACTGGAATGGGTAGCCTTTCCCTTCTCCAAGGGATCTTCCCAACCCAGGGATCAAACCCAGGTCTCCCACATTGCAGGCGGATTCTTTACCAGCTGAGCCACAAAAGTATCTCTTTATATCTATTCTTAGGAACATGTATTGAACTAATTTATCCCCTTTAGGCCCTTAAAGCCATGAGTTCCAAACCCTTTTAAAAGCAAAGAAGGGAAAAAAAAACTTGGTTTCCACTGTTATCAGTGGAGATATGCTGGCAACTTTATCTCTTCACTTATTCATGCATTCAAGAAGCTTTTGTCAAGCATTCACTATGTGCCAAGCAGCTAGGTATTGAGAATCCTGAGACTGTTCTTATGAACCTCACAGTCTGAAAGGGAGACAGACAAGCAAATATGGAATAATCAGACACTATGATAAATGCTGAAATGGAAATATGTATAGAATGTTATGGAAAATGAGAGGAGTAAGCAACTAAAGTTTTCTAAAGAGAGTGAGGCCTGGGGACATTTTCACAGAATAAAAAACATTTGAGTTGGTATTAAATGATGAGTAGACACTCTTGAAGACAGGAGGAGAAGGGGAATACAGAGGATGAGATAGTTGGATGGCATCATAGACTCGATGGACATGAGTTTGAGTAAGCTCCAGGAGTTGGTGATGACAGGGAAGGCTTGTGTGCTACAGTCCATGAGGTCACAAAGAGTCAGACACCACTGAACTACTGAACTGAACTGAGACACTCTTAAGACTAAGGAGCCATGGAAGGGCATTCTGAAGATTGGAAACAAGGATTTGATGTATGGGCAAGCATCATAGTTAAAAATTGCCTGACTTAAGCAAGTGAAAGTCACTCAATTGTGTCCAACTCTTTGTGACCCCATGTACTATACAGTCCATGGAATTCTCCAGGCCAGAATACTGGAGTGGGTAGCCTTTCCCTTCTCCAGCAGATCTTCCTAAACCAGGGATTGAACCAGGGTCTCCTGCATTGCAGGTCTGTTTCCTTTACCAACTGAGCTATCAAGGAAGCAACTTAAGCAAACATGAACACATAAAGGGATTTAATGGAAGATTTGATAAAGATTTGGGGAAAAATAAAACAAAATACAAATTAGAGTGTTTCTGGGCATCCAGGTATACAGGAATGGATGTGTGACCTTTTCAAGATACCACCATATGGGTGAAACAGTTCCAACTGTTTTCTGTCCTTGAACTCAAGATTACAATTACCGAGAGAGGATTTGTTTGGTATGCCATTTATCACATACCCATCCATGCCATGTATAAACCTGAGCAGAGTACTATGTATGACTATCACCAAACTGCAACAAATGGGAGAAGGGCAGTTCAACAAAAGGTTGAAAAGCACAGTGTTTTCTAATTCAAGTGGCATCTTGACTGTAGCTGCATCTCTTCCTAAGTTCTAGTTTGTGCTGAGGAACCTTCTCTCAATTGGCAGCCTCTAAAATTAACTTGGCACCTAGGCAATAGTAACACTGCTTCCTCCCTGTTCTTTTGCAGTCCTCAGAATGATAGGCAGGTTTCTACTATGCCTAACCTCTGGGTTGCCTCGCTCTCTCCTGTCTGGTCTCTCAGCCCTCCCACTTTGTTCCCTCTGTAAATGTCATCTGTTAGACACTTGATACAGGCTCTGTTTTCCTGACTAGATTCTAACTTTTGCCAGGGCAAAAATGACAAAAATCAACATAGGGGACCTCAGGGCTCAGAAGAGCCCACATATCAAAGCTACAAGTAGGGCTATTCACATACCTGAACTTTAATCTTTGAACCACTTGTGTTGAGCAAGATTGGCAGAAGAAGTTGAAAAATCACAGCAGTGTATCAAGGGCAAAAGAAATAGCTATACACGGTAACCAAACATTCACTAGGCTGTTGTTTTGTCCTAAGCCTCCATGGGGGATATTTTTTTAAATGAGTTTTCCATTGACTTAGTTAATTATTATAGGCTTTTTCTTGTGACCTTGTCCCTTTTTTGGAAATAAATGCCTTGCTGTTGTTGTTTTAGTGTAGACTCATGCAGTGTCTCGGCTCACAGCATGTGTGCAGGGTGTGGTATGCAGACTCTAAGGGGAGCACGTGAGTGCAGGGGACTGGGTGTGCATGCCTTTGAGTCTGGTGACTCCAGTTTAGGCTTTTAATCTATACTCTCATGGAGGATGAGGACATTGACCCTAGACAGTGAACCTGGAAATTTTTGCTGTCTCATAGGACTGGTCTTTTCCACCACATTCTCAAGTCCATTTCTGCAAATGATTACTCATTACTGGCCAAGAAAAATTCACCTGGCTTGGCATCAGGACAGAGGTAAGGCTGGCTTTAAACTCAAAATCTCCTCTAGTTACTCCTAAAGCTCCCAGGAAAAAAATACACTCTACAGTACACAAACAGTTTCAGAACAAAGTTCCTATTTTTTGTTCACCCTTACCATTTACAAACAGAACAATTATTCAAGCTTTACCCACATGAAAATTCAGGAGCTTCCACTGCCCCCAGAACATCCTGTATTGCAGATACACTTGAATTTCCTTCAGTAGCCAAATTCTGGGTCTATGGCCTTTTGCATGGCTATTAAGCCCAGTAGTAACCTTGACTCTATACAGTTTCATTCAATTCAGTCACTCAATCATGTCTGACTCTTTGCAACCCCATGGACTGCAGCACACCAGGCTTCCCTGTCCATCACCAACTCCCGAAGCTTGCTCAAACTCATGTCCATCGAGTCACTGATGCCACTCTGTCATCCCCTTCTCCTCCCTCCTTCAATCTTTCCTAGCATCAGGGTCTTTTCAAATGAGTCAGTTCTTCACATCAGGTGGCCAAAGTATTGGAGTTTCAGGTTCAGCATCAATCCTTTCAATGAATATTCAGGACTGATCTCCTTTAGGATTGACTGGTTGGATCTTCTTGCAGTCCAAGGGACTCTCAAGAGTCTTCTCCAACACCACAGTTCAAAAGCATCAATTCTTTGGCACTCAACTTTCTTTATAGTCAAACTCTCACATCCATACATGGAGAAGGAAATGGCAACCCACTCCAATACTCTTGCCTGGAAAATCCCATGGGTGGAGGAGCCAATAGGCTGCAGTCCATGGGGTCGCAAAGAGTCGGGCACGACTGAACAAATTCACTTTCACTTTTCACTTTCATGCTTTGGAGAAAGAAATGGCAACCCACTCCAGTGTTCTTGCCTGGAGAATCCCAGGGATGGTGGAGCCTGGTGGGCTGCTGTCTATGGGGTCTCACAGAGTCAGACACGACTGAAGAGACTTAACAGCAGCAGCAGCACGTCCATGCATGACCACTGGATAAACCATAGCTTTAACTAGACGGACCTTTGTCAGAAAAGTAATGTCTCTGCTTTTTAATATGCTGTCTAGGTTGGTCATAGCTTTTCTTCCAAGGAGCAAGTGTTTTTTAATTTCATGGCTGCAGTCACCATCTGCAGTGATTTTGGAACCAAAAAAATTAAAGTCAGCCACTGTTTCCATTCTTTCCCCATCTATTTGCCATGAAGTGATGGGGCTAGAAGCCATGAGCTAAGTTTTCTTAATGCTGAGTTTTAAGTCAACATTTTCACTCTCCTCTTTTACTTTCATCAAGAGGCTCTTTAGTTTTTCTTCACTTTCTGCCATAAGGGTGGTGTCATCTGCATATCTGAGATTATTGATATTTCTCCCAGCAATCTTGATTCCAGCTTGTGCTTCATCCAGCCCGGCATTTCACATGATGTACTGTGCATATACGTTAAATAAGCAGGGTGACAATATACAGCCTTGACATATTCCTTTCCCGATTTGGAACTAATCTGCTGTTCCATGTCCAGCTCTAACTGTTGCTTCCTGACCTGCATATAGGTTTCTCAAGAGGCAGGTCAGGTGGTCTGGTATTCCCATCTCTTTAAGAATTTTCCACAGTTTGTTGTGATCCACACAGTCAAGGGCTTTGGCATAGTCAATAAAGCAGAAATATATGTTTTCTGGAACTCTCTTGCTTTTTTGATGATCCAGTGGATGTTGGCAATTTGATCTTTCATTCCTCTGCCTTTTCTAAATCCAACTTGAACATCTGGAAGTTCACGGTACATATACTGTTGAAGCCCAGCTTGGAGAATTTTGAGCATTACTTTGCTAGTGTGTGAGATGAGTGCTATTGTGAAGTAGTTTGAGCATTCTTTGGCATTACCATTCTTTGGGATTAGAATGATTAGTGGTCTTGTTGGCATATTGAGTGCAGCACTTTCACAGCATCATCTTTTAGGATTTGAAATAGCTCAACTGGAATTCCATCGCCTCCACTAGCTTTGCTCGTAGTGATGCTTTCTGAGGCCCACTTGACTTCACATTCCAGGATGTCTGGCTCTAGGTGAGTGATCACACCATCGTGTTATCTGGGTCATGAAAATCTTTTTTGTAGAGTTCTTTTGTGTATTATTGCCATCTCTTCTTAATATCTTCTGCTTCTGTTAGGCCTGTACCATTTCTGTCCTTTATTGTACCCATCTTTGCATGAAAAGTTCCCTTGCTATCTCTAATTTTCTTGAAGAGACTCTATAGAGTTGGATTAGGCCAAGATCAAGTCCTAGTTTTCATGTGTCCATCCATACATGGTCTGGATTTACTCAGACTTTGATTCACCTAGGTAAAATGTGTACTAGTATCAGGACTATAAAGCCAGGGTTGAGTGGCTGTGACTGTCCTATTTGGGAATAGAAAAGGGAGATATGAGTGGAAGTCAACTTACTGCTTGACTCCTGGCCTGAATTTCACAAAGAATCCTAACACAGAGATGCCAAAGCCCCAGTTACTATGCCCCAGGAAACTGAGCCACATCTTTTCGGCCACATGATAAGTTCTCAAAATTCATATTGCATCAGAATCACCTGGAGGCTTTGTAGAAGTTCTGTGCTCCCTCAGAAACATCCAAAAGCAAGTAAAACAGAAGCAACTTTGTGAGAACTCTGGCAAACAGTCAAGGGTTTACAGCAACAGTCAAATGGTTAATCCAAAATACACAACTTCAAAGTAGTAAGAGATCTTTGTGGCACTTTTACTTGCCCTTCTCTCAACTCCTCCCCCAGAGCAGCAGCATTTTAGCCCATATTCCCAGTGTGGGATACTGGTCCCTGGTTCCAGAGGAAGACGAGAGCTTACATATTATTGAGCATGTCTGTTTTAACCTGACTGGAGTTACCTGAAAGACTGACACAAGATGCTCATCTCTATCTCATCTAACTTGAACTCAGGCTGAAAAAGCCTTGGAAATTTCTTGAAAACACAGCAAGCTGAAGTAAAAACCTACAGATACCTGGAGCAAAAGATAACTTTCAAAATAGACAATAGATTGGTCTAAAGTATGGGAACATATACTGAGGAGGGTTTCTTTGGGAAATTAGGACATTCAAAAGCACCATGCATGCAGGGGAATCTAAAAGGCCACATACATGCCTAGGGCAAGACATACGCTCAGAAAAGACTTGAGAAAACCCCAAACTTTCCCTTTGGGCTGATACCTAGGCTCTGTGCAAGCTTAGCTAAGATCCAGTTTGCAAAGTTTGAAAGAGGTATTTGTTTTAATCTGTGGTCATTCAAGGAAATCTCTGCCAAAATACTAGCTGAACACAAGCTAAGGAACAGACACTTCAGTGAACACACACACAATATACCAAAATTTATGGGATGCATCAAAGACAATGCTTAGGAGAAATTTATAGCTGTAAATACCTATAATCAAAAAGAACAGATGCACAACACCAGCTGAGAGTGGAGAGGAGTACCTGACCAACAGAAAAGAATATACAGAACCACACAAAACTTGGTAGGATGAAAGAACTAAGGGGAAAAACAGGAGTGTTATTAGGACTCAACCTATCCTTGGCAGGTGGGGGAACTGAAGCAGGGGTCCAATCCCCATACTGGGGCAATTGTTTGAGTTAGAGGAGAAACATTTAAGGCTGAGAGTGAAACAGCTGATCTGTGGCAGCCTAAATGGAATGACAATCACATAGTCCTTGCCGCAGCAATACATACCCTGGACAGGGATTCAGGTCCCCTAGAAGGCATAGAGGCTATGAGCTGGAGTTTGGGGATTGTGGAGCAATCTCAGGGCTAGGGCTGCTAATGACTGCAGAGAGATGGACTGAAGGAATATGAGAGAGAAAACTGTGGTGGGAAATACCTGTGGATGAAAGCCAGGCATCTATGGAAGCAAGGCGATACTGCTGAGTCACATGTAGGGGGTGGAGCCATCACCATAGCCTCTCTCTCCCCACCCACCAACATTGGCAGCTGAACAATAGAGAGGCTGGCCCATCAACGACCTGACACACTGAACTACAGAGTAGGAACCCACTCAGGGTGCTCCCTTAGGTGACTGATGCACAGAACTACAGAGTAGGGTCCCACCCAGGATGCCCCTTTAAGTAGGATTCCAGCTAAGGGGGCCCCTCTATGTGCCTGATGCACGAAACAACAAAGAAGGACCCCAGAAGGACCTCTAAGTGCCCAAACGGACAGAGCTACGGAGAAAGACTAGCCAAAGAGGACTTCTGATCACCAGCTAACAGAAGCTAGAAAAAAGACTGATAGGGCCATAACTCCTGTGGCTGAGGCAGTCCATGTCCCTGCACACTAGGCACTGCCAGGGTTCCTGTGACCCAAGCAGCTGTGCCATCTTCATGCTCAACCCTCACTGGGGCAGAGCTGCCACAGGCAAAAAAATGTCTTGTGTCTATGCATGAGGGGTTGCTTCCATCGTCTCCAACTCTTTGCAACCCTGTGGACTGTGTTCAGCCAGGCTTCTCTGTCAGGGGAGTTCTCCAGGCAAAAATAGGGAGTGTATTGGCAAATACTAGTTGCCATACCCTTCTAGAGCACAATATTTCCTGCTGCCCTAGTCACCGACTCCCCTGAGTACCTGGTGCTGCAAGAACCCCTGCAACCCAAGCAGCAGCACCACCTCCACACCTGGCCCTCACCAATGCAGACCCAATCCTCCAGGGCAGCCTAAGGAGTAACCCCAGTGGACGACCCATATGCAGAGGTGGAATTAAAACCACAATTGAAACCCAGGTGCAGTGCGGCAAAGGAAGAAAACCCCAAATCTTCCCACCAGCAGTACAAGCTGCAGATTAAATCCACATGATCAACTAGGCAGGCTCTGTGTCTATGGAATATATAAAAGGCCATTGAGAGCTCCCACAAAAGAAAATGCACTAGTTCTGATAGCTGTGGACATTGGAGGCAAGAACATACAGGACTAGGACCAGATTAGAATCTGAGCTGCCCCCACAGCAGGTCCAGAGACCAGCACAGTATTGGAGGGCATCCTAGGGAGGTAAGGTGGACTATGACTCACAGCAAGGGAAAGGATCCTGACAGCAGTGACTCAAGAGAAACATTTATTATTCTTATGTTTTGTCTTGTTCTGCAGTTTCTTTTCAATTTTTTTCTTTTCTTTTCTTGTTTTTTCCTTGTTTCCCCATACCCCCCATTGTAGTTGTTGATTTTGTTGCTACTATGAAAATTAATTGAGCTTTAGAGCTTTTCTTAAATCATACTTTTTATTGTTATCAACCTCTGGGCCTTTGACAGTTCTGTGGAGTTTTTTTCTTTTTTTTATTTCATAATCTTTTATTCTTTTCTCTTTTTTTAATTTTAATTTTTAACTTTTTAAAACCTATTATTTTTTTCTATATTTATTCCTTTGTTCACTTTTCCTACTGTCCTTTTCCCCCTTCAGTTAATCTTTAATGTATATAAATCTTCTTTATCTACCTCTGTTTAATTTTGCATATCTATTTCTTTCTTTTCTTTCCTTTCCTCTCAACATATTTGTTAGTTTTGTTTTAATCCCTTTATTCCCCTCTTGACACTTTGCTTTTGTTTTGTTTTCCAGTTTGTGCTTTAGTTAGTTTTGTTCTTAACTGGTAGATATAATTTTTGGTTTTCTCAGTTCACTGGGTCAATCTATTATACTTTATTTTTGTTGGACTGTTTTGATTTTGCTTATGGGTGTATATGTATATGTGTCTATTCCATTATTTTATTGTTTGCCTAATTTGTAACTGCCATTTGTCTGGGGTTCATCTTGGGTGTCTCATTTTTAGGTATTTGTTTTAATCTCACTTAATGCCATAACAAACCACTTTTGGAATCTTCATTCCTGACCAGAGATCAAACCCTGAGCCTTTGGAGTAGGCGCACTGATTCCAAGACCCTAAACTACCAGAGAACTAACCCTCAGTTCAGTTCAGTCGCTCAGTCATGTCCAACTCTTTGCAACCCCATGAATCACAGCACGCCAGTCCTCCCTGTCCATCACCAACTCCCGGAGTTTACTCAAACACATGTCCATCGACTCGGTGATGCCATCCAGCCACCTCATGCTCTGTTGACCCCTTCTCCTCCTGCCCCCAATCCCTCCCAGCATCAGGGTCTTTTCCAGTG